AAAACCATGCTTGCAGTCAAGTTGTTTGATGACGCAGTTAAACTTTTCTATTCATAATTGCAAGGCTGCACAACCGCTGTCTTCAGAGACTAAAAGCATCAACAAGAAACCTAAAAACATAAGAGATAAAAAAATCTCATACTATCGTTTTATACAAAGAAATTACAACTATCAGTTTAAAAAATATTTTGAATTATTTGTTGTATACTTACGTGATATGTCGATGCCAAGTAGTTTTCGATTCACCTATTGTGCTTAAAATTTCATGATTCGTGTTAACCATATTTCTGCATTTACGAAAACACGTATAAAATATCATAAGCAACGTGATTCTGCAATGTTTATTTGTGGACAGAAAACATGACTTTGCAGCTGCTCAAGTAACTCAAAAAATACTATTGTTTGTTCAATTATTTATTCCCCATGTTTACATTTCTTCAATTCCCTATCCATCGTTCCCCATCTACCATTTCTGTCTGCTTGCCTGCCTGCCTCTCTCTCTCTCTCTCTCTCTCTCTCTCTCTCTCTCTCTCTCTCTCTCTCTCTCTCTCTCTCTCTCTCTCTCTCTCTCTCTCTCTCTCTCTCTCTCTCTCTCTCTCTCTCTCTCTCTCTCTCTCTCTCTCTCTCTCTCTCTCTCTCTCTCTCTCTCTCTCTCTCTCTCTCTCTCTCTCTCTCTCTCTCTCTCTCTCTCTCTCTCTCTCTCTCTCCTTCTCTCTCTCTGCCTTCCGTCTTCACACACACACACACACACACACACACACACACACACACACACAACACACACTCCTATGCAAGTACACATGGCCTAACCTTTTTAGTCCCCGCCCATGGCAAAGTCAGAATAGAATGGAATATTCCTTCACTACACCCTCCGGTACATCTTCCTGGCGTCTTCCAAATACGCTTTACATATACCTTAAGGGTGTTTTTTCAGTGTGTTTGTATCTTACATTACTTGGAGGTGTTTTATGGCGTGTAAACTGCATGTTGGTATTTTTATATATGTGTAAGTATTTCAAGGGCATGGGGCCATGAACAATATATTAAAGGTGTGTACCAATATTATTTATGGAGATGCGCGAATTATACTTAATTTCAGATTATAGGCTATAATTGATACGAGAGTATGCGCTATGTGTAAGATTTACTCCACAGAGTAAGCGTGTCTGATGTGCGGGCAGTATCGGGGGGGGGGGGGGAGATATGCGCGTTTTTTTATACTTTATTTATACAATTGGACATTGCACAAGACTTATACAGCAGATTAAATGTAACTGTATATTTATGCAAATGTCAAGCATGTCTACAAATAAGAACAAACGGTTGTTCTAATGGTTATTGTTCACTGTTCTGTGGGAAAAAATCTTTATTTATTTTTTCTCTAAGCCAGTTTCGGGGTAATTATAAAATAAAATAAACTACAGATGGTTAGGACTCGTTTTGGAGAATTGAACACATCTGCAAGCTGGAGCGCTGGTCATCGGGATACTTGTTAAATTAAAGTAGTACGTACTTTTGTTACAATTATTTTATGTACCTACCAATTCAAATATTAGTCCACATAATTCTAGCCTGTAAATATACTTGGAAAATACATATGGTATATTTCCAAATCCAATGGTCTATTATTTAATTCACTGTATAGCCAATGACGTAGAACAAGGAACAAAAGAACGTTAGTATTCGAAGCTTCATAAATTTCCATATATTAAAGGGGCATTTTGAATTCCCACTTCCTTCCCTCTGTATATCCACGTCCGCCTCGAGATCGAAACTTCGAGAAGCTTTCCATTTCATAACAGGAATCGTGTTCGCGCCATCTAGAAGGTGCATGGCGTTGATAGTGCCCACCATAACCAGTTTTACGAGTCGGGCGACTACCTAGGCCTGACACCAGCCCTCCAGCAGGAACGTCTGACCGCACGGCTGCCACCACCTGTACGTCAACTTTACCACACGGATAGAAACCTTGGCGTTGGTAATTCTTCAAAGAAAAGCTGTTGCTAAATGGGAAACATGGTTATTCCACGCCTTTTTTTTTATTGTGAACGCGCGTAAAATAAAAATAAAAAAGATCGGGAGTTCACTGTGGAAATCTGATCTTTTGGTACCTAATATCCGACTTGTTTTTGATGTCCAGTCCTTGTATTCCTGGCATTTATCCTGTGTGCTTCTACTCTCTCCTTGGTAACAGCCAAAAGCGCATTCATTAACAAACAAAATTCACTTACACAATTATATCTCACTTTGTTTTCCGCGATCTTGCCGGAATAAACATAAACGGATTGTTATTGAAACCGAAATTTAAGAAACGAAAACACTGCATTCTAACCGTTTATCAACAGTCGTGACTTCGGTAACGAGACAATCAACCCATTAAAAGTACCAATATTATCTGATATCCTTACTATGAGCACGTAGGAATGCACGAAAGATTATGCAAACAGTGAAATAAAAGCTGGAACCAGTTTCAGATTCCAGCGTTCAAAGCATCAGGATT